CTGCCCCACCACCATTGTGTCAGCCCAGGTCCACCCTTTCCTCCCTGCCACCACAGCACACCCACTCCTCCCCCACCCCTGCATTGGGCCCACTCCTCCCCCCACCACATTGGCTCTGCAGGCAGCAACGACGGAAGAGGGAAGAGGCAGGCCAAGGCCAGATCAGGTGGCCTCCCCCTCCACTCCCCCCTGCAGCATCCCAACTCTGCTTCCCCCCAACCATTGCTGCTGCCGCCATCTCCAAGGAGCAAAGCTAGCTCCAGTGGCCTAACCCCCCCCCCCCCCCCCCCCCCACCCCTCCCCTCCCTCCCCCGCTTCATCGTTGCCACATGCAGGGAGCAGGGCAGGGGGGGCAAGGCCCACACTGCTGAGCTTGCCACCCCCATTCCATCTGCTCTGTTGCTGCTGCTTCCAGGGAGCAGGGCGGCAGGGGGCAAGGCCTCCGCAGCTGGCCTCGCCCCCCTGCTCCACCCTGTGTCCCCGCCATCATGGCAGCGCTCCACTGCATCGCCACCTCCTGTCTGAATGCTATATTCGCACTCTGATTGGGTGTTTCAGTCAGTCAATCAGAGCAATAAAGAGTTACAGACAGAGAAACAGATTAAGGCTTTTATAATATTAGAATAATGAATGAGGCACTGGTTGGCTTCCAAATTGCTTTACACACACACACACACACACACACACACACACACACACACACTGGCATTTCATTTTAATCATGACTTCTGGTTTTTAATCAGAATTTGCAATTGTGTTTTAATCAGAGAATTTGCAATTTTTTAAACAGAAAAACCAGGATCCCTGGTAATAAGGTAGTTTGGTTTTAGGAGGATAGGAATATTTTGAGATGTTTACTTGTTTGTTTTCCTCTACCCATAACTATAAATTTACTGTAAAGGATACTGTTTTACAATTTGGCATAAGAAAGGTGGTAAATAGTTCAGTACAAAATGGTTTACTTAAATTGTATTTGGGATGCTTACTCATGCATGAGTTAATAGCATATCTAACATTCATACTTATAATAGCTTGGTGTTCCATTGCCAGGTATGCAACTATACACATAACAGAAGACAATTTCTAATTACAAAAAAAATCACATTCATTTCACAGAAAAAAAGGAAATGAAAGCAGCTGTTTTGCACTGACTTTTTATACTCTGTTCAATACTCAGAGCTTTCAGAGGCCCAGGGAGAGCTGCTTTATAAAAGATTCTCTTGGTCACCTGAAAAAGAAACTTTTAATGTCTAAGTATTTTCTCACTTTGCTGGCCAGATAAATACAGTCAAAGGATGGACATGGGTATCTCTACAGACCAGAGACTTACTATCCAATTTTTTTTGTCCTTCACTAGGGCTAGGTACAGACATTGGGTGGGGGGCATCAGAGGGAGGTTAAATTGGATCACAATGGCTGCAGGTAAGTCAGGATGGGAAAGAGGGGGGGGAGCTGAGGGTCCAGCAAGCTGCAGAGGATCAGGGGTCCACCAGGGAATGGGGGGGCAGAGGCAACCCACTGGTAGGGTGCCCCCTCTCCCCACAAACCTACACCCTCATCCCTCCCACCCCTCCCCCTACCAGGGCTTACTTACTCAGCTCCAACAACAGCAAATGCTGATAAATCAGCTGTACCCAGAGCAGCTTGTAGGAGGGGGTTGAAGAGACTGGTTTGTCCAGGGTGGCGGGGGATGGAAAAGGGATGCAAAGGGTAAGAGGGCAAAAGATAGCCCAGTGTGGGGGGTGGTATTCAAAAGAGCAGCCTGGGGCTGGGGCTGGGTTTTCCCAGCTCTGGGGTTTTGCAGAGAAAGTATATAGAAGTTCCATGCACTGGTTTAACCCAAATTGAATAAGTTTGATGTTACATAGTTCCAGGTACATCTTAAACTGGGTTCTGCAATTTTTAGACCAATTTGTGTGCATGGAACTTCTGTAGTTACAGGCTTAGACTGATTGCCAGTCACTAAGACCTAGTCTGCAAGTGTAAAGTTAACATGGGAATGAGCTAAGTTTAAATCGGGGAGCCATTTTGATCCCAATTTAACCTCCCCAAATGTCTCTACTTAGCCTAAATAACTAGTGGGAGGGGGTGGAAATCAACACTGGATTTTGACAGGATGTTAACTCAGAATCAAAGAGGGTCTCCGGTTTGTCAAACACATGGACAGCATTTAAAATAAAATTAGCTGACTCATTTAAAATTTAAGATGTCTACATAAGACAGATGGAAAAATGGTCATAGAAGAAAAGATAATTTGTTACCTGTTGGACTTGATGTCTTCAAGTCCCCCTTTTACTTCTTCCTACCAAAAAGCAAAGACAAAAATATTAACTTTCCTGCTATTAAAAGCAGTTATATAGTACCACACATCCACACAGGCCTCAAACTAGAGACAAAGAGCTTACAGTAAATCATCATGATGCAGCAAACACTTAAGTACGTGAGAAAATTTACTCATATGAGCATTTCCTTTAGTCTGAAGTGTTTTCATAATCAACCTCACCACAAAACAATGGCAAAATGAAACATGGGACTCACTAATGATTGGGAGGTTTTGGAATGAACACTTAAGAGGAAAAAGAGATGGGTGGATTTTTAGGTATTTGGGTGGGCAAAGTTTAAGGTAGTTGAGGTTTCTCTTCCATTCAGACAAGCAATATCTCTGACCACTAGTACACACAGCTTCAGTCTTAATTGGGAAAAAAAATTAATTGCCAGCTTTCACCTGCTGGAGACTAGAAACTAGTGAATAGCGACACAGGAAGTTCTTAAAGAGTGGCAGCAACACAGCTCTGACATCCAGCCTCTACCTACTAGGTGACAGGTCAAAAGAATCAAATCCATGTCTGGTCTACTGGAGATAGTGCCAGCATGTGAAGCGCAAAAGTTTATATTTAATACTAATTAATTATCTACATTCTAGCATAAAAAAAACTGAATTTAAAAAAAAACCTATGTACAACTATACCACACACACGCATGTTTATGCCCACCACAATATGCTCAGTGGTGGATATTGTTATTTATAAACCCTCACTGGCAGTCAGGTATCACTGGCAGTGGCCAGAGATCAAACAGGATATTTGACTTCTTTGTACACAATTGGGTTTCAAGTATTCAGACATTTTTTTAAATATATACACTTGTCTCATTTAACATTGCTTGCCTGTTGCCTGTAAAGAGCACAGAGCCACTCAAGTAAATTCCCCGTACCCCCAAAAAAATGAATATTCCTACTTTATTCAATATTCTGTACAGTTGACTTGAGGTTCTTTGACAGTTTAAGTGTGGAAGCTGCCCAAGGGTAGTTTTCTTTGTACAGAGTTCTTACAAACAGTTGAGAAAGCATTTTTTTTAAATCATATGGTTCCATTCCAGGCCAAACGTGAAACACCCAGCGGAACCAGTCATTTCAATGCAACATAAATCAATTTTATATTGTCCCAAATTGTTTAGTATTTACATTCCTGTTTGTTAAAAGTTATTTAGCTTTACCTCATTCCAAAATAAATAAAGTTCTCATAGATCAGTTAACATAGGGGTGTCAAAGTCACTCCTGGTCAGATCTGAACCCAGGGGACTCCTCCAAGTCCAGATCCAGGGGAGCAGACATATATACAGCAGGTCTGCATTGGGCAGCAGCAGAGGTCGGTTTCACATTTGGGCACTGCAGTGTGGGTCAGGTCTGCGTTAAGTTGGCAGCACAGGTACTGGGGCAGACAGTGGCACGGATCAGGTCCACAGCCTGGCTACCAGTGGTCACAGTCATCAAGATCTGGGGACCCCAAATTTTGTGACTGGCCACACCCACCCACTTATGGTAGCCCGCTAGACTACTGAAGACTGGAGAGAATGGTTCTGGGGGCCAGATCCAACCTGTAGGGTGTATGTTGGACACCTGTAACTTACCAAATACACCATGATTCTTGTCTGTTCATCTGTTTAATAGATACTGCCCCAAGTCTTACTAATAAAGCTTCAGTTTCACAGTTTTTAATAAAACTGAGTCAAGGAGACCTGGAATTACACACACACACACACACACACACACACACACACACCCCCACCCACCCACCCCCCGTTTGCCAGGTAAGTGGATTAATTTTTGTCTCAGCATGAATCAAACATGCAATTTCATCTAAATCTACTTAGTAAATACAGCCGCTATTTCAGCTAAATCCAAAATACTACTCCTACAAACAGCTGCAGTAACAGATCATTAAGCATCCAGAAGCCCCAAAATGCTAAAAATAAGGCTGTACGATATCACCTACATCTGCCCTCTGAGTGCGTGCATTATGCTATAGTCTTCACCTCTATAGTCTCATTCTATTTCTTGAATAAAATAAGCAGACCAAATCCTACAAGCACTTACACAGGAATAAAATTTACCCATGAGGTAGTCCAACTGCAGGGAGTAACTGTTCTCATTTAAATAAGTGTTTACAGAATCAGACCCAATATCAGTTTTTCCCTAC